CTTCAGTGGAGTATAGTGGGGACCAGTTCAAGTTTGGTGCTACATCTCAGTGTGCAACATCTTCAGTGCAGTGTTATGGGGACCATTTCAGGTTTGGTGCTGTATCACAGCCAAAAGTGTCAGTGAACTACAGAAAACTGGTGGCATCCTGACTGCTGATAAGCAGAGACTAAGTCTGATACATCTTGTCCTTCACTCAAGAAGGTAAAATTAAAAAGGTCAAAAGGTAACCAAACAATTTGGCTGAATTGTGGGTAATAATACAGGACAGTATTCTACAATCGTACCTTGATAAACAGTATGTCAACATGAAAACGAGGTATAATACTCTGTGTAAAACAAAGTGCTCACGTACAGAATACTAGTACATTGTATAACTTACTCACCTTTCTGTTTACTGTAATAATGTTTTGTACCATTACTAAGTTCGCCATCTTGTGGCCAATACTCGTTGTTTGTGATTCGTTATATGAAATTGACACATTAATTTAACCAAACACTGGGTTTTAACATTTTAGATTTGCCTATATATATGTGTATATACAATTTGTTCCAGGATTCATACACTTTAAACACTCTCTCTCACACGCATATGATTACATCTGCCCCTATCTTATTATAGATTTTAAGTTTAGAAAATTCGTATTTTTTATTAAGATGTAACAAAGTCACACATAGTTCAAACTTACTTTTTTGAATTGGTGCACACAGATCTCCATTTACCTTTATGGAAGATTTGAACTCGTCCTTCCATAACAGAAGCGCCATCTACAAGACGCACCTTAGAGGAGATACTAACGCCCCCTTCTGTCGAAGACTGACTTCCGGTGAATACTATTCTTTTATCTGAAGTCCCCTAGAGAAGAATTTCATTTAAATCATTAGATCATTAGTTATTCGTGTTCTAATTGTACCAAACAGTGTGTATGTAAATTAAACATGCCATTCAAACAGTGTGTACATAAATTAAACATGTCATTCAAACAGTGTGTACATAAATTAAACGTGCCATTCAAACAGTGTGTCATAAATTAAATATGTGATTCAAACAGCGTGTACGTAAATCAAATGTGTAATTCAAAAAGTGTGTACATAAATTAAATGTGTAATTCAAACAGTGTGAACATAAATTAAACGTGTCATTCAAACAGTGTGTACATAAATTAAATGTGTAATTCAAACAGTGTGAACATAAAACACACTGTTTGAATGACACGTTTAATTTATGTACACACTGTTTGAATAACACGTTTAAACATAAATTAAGCGTGTTACTCAAACAGTGTATACATATTGTTACGTCTCTGTTCGTTAGTTAATTTTCCGAAAATTTCATTCCGACGAAACTTTAGCGATACAAGTTCTTTCTTAAATAAAACTGGTTTATTCTTTCTGAATACAACTTTGCAATACACTTAATTTCCACAGTCGCGCTATAACAAACGCTATTATTCACAACTAACGTCTCACGTGCTCAACTCAACAATACTCTGTCCGCAATTCAATTACACATTGTTCCCGTCGCTTCTTGGCCGGTCTTATATATACAAGACTACCCCACATCTAGTAGTCTCCCGACGCTTCATGAACGTTCTAGAAGCGCGTGGCGTGTTAATAGAGTCACGTGACCTCCGCTGTCGTAACAATATATTAAGTGTATAATTCAAACTGCGTGTACGTAAATCAAGTAATATCTCTCCATGTTTTATTTCAAAACGTGAATTAGATAATAATGGAGGGAAGTGTTAAACATATCCTTTTCTTCCCCCTCCCCCGTGGCTCAGCGGATAGTCTCAGGGATAATAACGCTAAAACTCTGGTTTTTGATACCTGTGGTGTAGAGCCCAGATGGCTCATTATGTAGCTTTGCGCTTAACAAGAAACAAAATATTTGAAATTTGACTTCTGGTAACAAATACAATGAACTTATCTTTCAAGCGAAACTGAACTCAATGCTTTAGCTATTGCGAAGTCAAGACAGAGAAGAAAATATACATAGCTTGGTGGAAGAAAATTTTCGTTCTTTTCACTACGGTGAGATGTGTTTTTTAGGAGGGGATCGAAACCATCCCGCTACCATTTAGTAGACTTGAGACCGACCCGATACTTTTACAGTAGCTTAGGGCTAAGCCAAATATCTTATCCTCTCTTTCTTCTCCCAGCGAGGGCGGCAAAATACAGCACAAAGCGACAGTAGCTTAGGGCTACGCCAAATATCTTATCCTCTCTTTCTTCTCCCAGCGAGGGCGGCAAGATACAGCACAAAGCGACAGTAGCTTAGGGCTACGCCAAATATCTTATCCTCTCTTTCTTCTCCCAGCGAGGGCGGCAAGATACAGCACAAAGCGACAGTAGCTTAGGGCTACGCCAAATATCTTATCCTCTCTTTCTTCTCCCAGCGAGGGCGGCAAGATACAGCACAAAGCGACAGTGAAACAAATTTAGTTAATAAAATATAAAAATTCAAAGTGGCTATTTCATGTTGACACGTGTTAGCCTAATCTAAAGTCACACAGAAATCATTAGGATCTCTATTTCTTTTTTGACCACCAGTGGCACAGCGGTATGTCTTCGGACTTACAACGCTAGAATCCGGGTTTCGATACCCGTGGTGGGCAGAGCACAGATAGCCCATTGTTTAGCTTTGTGCTTAACTTAAAACAAACAGCTATACTGTTGTAACATCTGACTATGATGTGAATCGAGCACAATCTGCATATTTCGAGAACGTTTATAAAAGAAACAACTAGCTTCGGGTATATAAATTAATAATTTCAGTTTTTACAGAAACTCTCAGTAATATTTAACAATAAGGGAGAGTTGAAATAATCGGTGATTCGCGGATAAGTTCTGTCTCCGCTTTGAATATACCTGAACAAAAGAAGCTTTGAAAATCGGTGTTTCTAGAGTGAACAAGCAGATATAGGTATAGCGTGGGACAAAGTCCAGATTTATTGATAACAGAGCAGATAGAGCATGACGTTTAGTTATGGCGGTTGCTTGGCAACCCGTTATCAGACCTCCCACAAATTTATTTTTGCCGTACACAGTTGAAGCAAGGATCTTACATTTCTACCTGGCGTTTCTATAATGTTACATACACGGATTTCCCCTGTCGGTTTATTACCACAAAGCTATACAATGGGACATTCGGGCTGTGTCCACAATGGGTATCGAAACCCGGTTTTTAGGATTATAAGCTTCGGGTTTACGGAGGGGGGGGGGCTTCTATTTGGCAGTTGTTCTGTTCCAGCCTGCTATAGCTTTTATACACCTTCCGCCGTCAACACAGCTTTTGTAGACCTTCCACCGTCAACACAGCTTTCATAGACCCTTCACCGTTAACATAGCTTTTATAGACCCTTCACCGTCAACATAACTTTTATAGACCCTTCACCATCCACACAACTTTTATAGACCATTCACCATCAACATATATTTTATAGACCCTCCACCATCAACACAACTTTTATGGACCTTCCACCATCAACACAGCTCTTATACACCTTTCACCATCAACACAGCTTTTATGGACTCTCCACCATCAACACAAGCTGTTTTAGAGTCTCCACCTAGTGAACTATTATATAAGTATGAAATAATTCCATAAGTTTTCATGAATGTTTTATAATTAAAATCAGTCGATTAACTTATCTACCTAAAATGGTCCAATGAGAAAAAAGTGAATAATATTTTTAGTTATTCTAGTTAGACTTTCTATCGAATTTCAAATACAACATCCGTTCGTTTGTTGTTAAAAACAGAACTACAACAGTGAGCTATCTGTACTGTGCTAACCGCGGGTATCCAAATACGATTTCTTTTTCTGTGCTAATCACATTAACGAACAAAGTCCACGTACAATGTCTATGTGGAGAGGATACTACGAAAGTCAAGTTATAGAATATTGAGTGTGTGTGTAATGATACTGATAAAAATTATCTCACAATTCGGTTTAGTCACGGGAAATACACGTTGCGTTATTGAGCAAAAATGTTATTATTAAATGTAGTCTTTAACTTTTCTTCTAGAAATTTTTTTATTGGAAAACATGAATGTGTAGTTAGACTTGATCAGAACGAAGAAAGAATTCACGTCATTGAACAATTAAGTTTTTGAATAAAATTTGGATACCATTGTCTTTTTTAAAGCTTCCAGTTGCTCAGCGATGAGTCTGCAGATTCAAAACGCTAAAATGTGAGTTTCGATACCCGTGGTGGGCAAAGCACAGATAGTCCATTGTATAGCTTTGCGTTGAATAACAACCAAACTAAGTTTTTCAGATTATGTTGGTTTATTTGCAGTTAAGTACTAAGCTACACAATGAAGTACCAGTGATGTGTCCACCATCAGTATCAAAACCCTGTTTTTAGCGTTATAAGCCCACAGACATACCACCGAAGGGCCTCAGATAATAATTCTTGTGATATATACAAAACCAACGTTCAACAGAGTTCATCATGAGAACTCAAGATTAATTAATGACGTCACTAAATAAACTTTGGCTCATTTTAACCACATTTTGGCAAAAGTTCTTTTTCAGGTTATTTACAACAGTGAGAAGTGCTAATGTAAATAATTTAAAGTAATGTTTAAAAGTAAATTACTCTTATTCCTTTTTTTATGAAAATGTATTCTCAACGTATAAGCTATTAAAAACATTTAAAACGGTCTTTCTTTAACTTGTGCCGGGCGTTTCGAACTGTGGATTCCAGAGGGCATGGGTGCGTTATAAGAGTAACAGCCAAATCATACTATTATATTAGAGTAGTCCAAGAGTTGGCGGTAGGTGATGCTGACTCTAGTCTATCAGTTCGAAATTAGGGATGGCTAACGTATATGGCCTTTGTATAGCTTTGCGTCATAATTCGATACAAAGACTTTTTTTAGCCATTCATCATTTCCGAAACTAAGTCGAGAGTCTTTTTTTTTTTGCCTTTCTTTTTAAGTCAAACTTTCTAATGACCACGAGTAAATCAAGAATTAAATTTGTATTTGAAAATCGTGAAATTATTTCGCATCTTGAATCCTTTTCAAGGAGTTCTTAAATTTCCACATAAATAATTTAACTTCCACAATTCTTCCCCTATAGTAATATATCACCGATCTTAACCTTCAATTCATAAACTTATGATAAAATACGTTACCTTGGCGATAAGAGCGCCCTTTACGGTGATCCCCACTGTTGGACTGAAGAGAACTTCAACTCCTGGTTCTATTGTCAACTGACCATCACTCTCGACGGTCACATCAGCCGGAACTTTCCAAGGACTGTCAGCCAAAGCCAAGTTTATTGTATTCCTGATAGTCCTTTCTTTCAGTACACCGCAGTCACCGGGAGCGGTTAGGCTTAGCACCAGGATACAAAAGGTGTAGATAATACAGCTCATTATAAACAACTAACAACTTTACTGCACTTGCTTGCAATGCTAGCTAACGAAGGACTTGCACCCAATGAAAATATTTAATCCAAAAATTAAATTTCTAAGACGATTTGGGCCACATCTCACATTATTGAGACGAAACACAACAGGAATTATTGTTGCTACAGGAAGACGAAACTGTGCACGACGTTCAATTTTTTACATTTGCTGATAAGAAACAAAAGTAACGTGACTGACTTATGCCATCGGAAGTCACGTGACTCACCTACATTATGATAATCACTCTGCCTGTTATCTTCTATATTTAAAAAATTCCCGGTGATTTTACGTAGCTTGTTTTTAATGTAATATGCAATGCGAGTTGATCTCATGTCTGAAAGTGCCCTCTTGGGACAGTTATTATATTTTTGCAATGTCTTGAGGCAAGTTCCAAATCATTCACTATCCTATCATTAAAAAAAATTAAATCTTTTATTGAAGCTGCCTTACTTGATTATTTGTTTGTTTCAGGTTTTCCAACAAACCTATACGAAGGTTGTCTGGTTTCAAAAATGTAGTCAGAATTTTTTCATCACCTCTAGATTTTGAGCTATTGTAATATCTCTATATTTTATTAGAACTATGTGAAATACCATGGAATCAACTCCGTACAACAGATTGATGCTGTGAGATTAAGTTTACTTGGACAGTTTAATGGGTATAAGGCATAAATTTTTGATAAATTCAAACATTAACTGTATATTGTAATGATGTAAAATTCTATTTTGTTCATATATGCTATTTGTTATTGATATAATTGTAGCGGATTGCACACTTTTGCTTCATTCTCATGCTCACCTGGGAATTGTGAAACCCTAACATGCTCAAGAAGTTTCTCGACTGAACATAAAAGGGGCAGAGCCAGATGCCCATCACTCACCCAGTTGGTCACTTCGCCTCGCTCTGCACACAGTCAAAACAAAGTCTGATCTTCTTCCTCTCATCATACTCGCGATATAATCAAATTCTGAAAAAACTATTTTTTTTAATCTTTTAAACTCTTAGTTCTATAAATATAAATTATTATATATATTTTTTAAATAGTTTGAAATGCTGGCTGCCTCCAGTTCAAGTAAAATCCGAGAGTGCAAAAATCACCCAAACAGTTTCTGCTACATTTGTAAAACATATATTACAGTTTCACGAAAGAAAAACATCATTATTTTTAGAATCAACATCGTCAAATTACTCAGAAACTGTTTTCTTTTTTCTAGCAATTTTGTTGTTGTTGTTGTTGCCCAGTGTAACCCTTGAGTAGTTTTGAGCTAAATTCAACAACAGAAACATGGGTTTATTTGGTGAGGGGAAAATAAGAGGGGGGTTGATGTTGAATGATTACTTTTTTTTGGTTGCAGTTCTAAATTAGGAGTGGTATGTTTGAACCTTTGGGTCTCTGAACTGTTCGTTTATCTTCTTTGTCTCACAAAATGTCTTTCAGGCTGATTATATTAGATTAAGTGTGAACAAATAATTTCAGGGTTTTTAATGCTAATCCGGGATTCGAACCCTACGGTGAGCGCAGCGCAGATAACACATTGCGCAGTCTTACGCTAAAAAAATGCACAAAAATGTTAGTCAGTCAAGCCAGCTGTGTAATTAGTCTTCCTTTGTTGAAGTTACTAATTCAAATAAAAATATGTTTCCCTTTAAAAGGTGCACATAGAGTTATTAAAATAAAAACTTACTGTGATTAAAAAGGCCAACATTCGCGGGCAAATACAATATCTCCCCCACCCAATCTCAACACGGCCAAACTTGACACCCGCAAAATCGTGAAAAACACAAAAAAAAAATCAAAAACTATCTATATCACTGCTTGTGATCTACAAGAAATTATTATTGTACCAAACCCCATGTAAGCTGGAAGAAATACCGAAATTAATTGTCAAAAACTAAAATTATGCTTTTTGTGACATCTTAACACCCCCTATAATTACTAAAAATGAGCAAGTCCGACATTTTTTGTTTGTCAATGTATGTTGTTTGTAGAAAAATATATTTAAATCAAATTCAAATTGGTCAAAAGGGCTAATAATTGACCAAAACCCCTAAAATTATGGGTTCGTTTAACCTTTTGATCCTCCTAAAATGACCCAAAATTGGTATATCCTAAATTCGTGTATATAAATGTAATGGGACCTGCAAAAAAGTATCTTTGTACGAAATCCCATGTAAATTGGCCGAAATATGGTGAAGTACTTATCAAAAAAACTTTAAAATTATGCTTTTTATGCCATCTTGACCCTCTATAATTACTAAAACATGGACAAGTCTACCATTTTTGTTTGTCAATGTGTGGGACCTGTAGAAAAAAGTATTGTTGCGTCATCGAGAACACGTGACTGGTGTGGCGCCACCTATTTTCTAGAACTATCCTGTACCTTAGCGAATGCTCTAGCATTTACTAGATATAGGGTAGTCTGGTATATAAAAGAGGGTGATAACGTGACGGGACACAAATGTGTGTGTAGATAGTGAGTAATTGAACTGCAGTCACAGGGTATTGTTGAAGTTAACGTTCGTTCGTTATAGTGTTTGTTTCAGCGCGAATATTGAAATTAAGTGTATCGTAAAGTTATATTCGGAAAGAATAAACCAGTTTTATTAAGTAAAGACTTGTGTCGTTAAAATTTCGTCGGAACGAAGTTACGGAAAAATCAATTAACAAACGGAGACGTAACAGTATCTTTGTACAAAATTCCATTTATGTTGGTCAAAATATGGTCTAGTAGTTGACCAGAACCCCATAAATTATGTTTTTTTGTAAGCTCTGACCTGCTAAAAAAGACCCAAAATATGCAAATATAACTTTTATGCATTTCATTTTTTTGGGCGCATGAAAATTTATATTTATGCAAATTTTTATTTTGATTGCTGTAAATATGATAGCACAGGCTTGTTTGATCTTTGACCCCTTAAAAACCTTAAAAAGGCCTAAATGAAAAAGATGAAAAAGGTATTTGGGCGTATTAGACGAAAGTATAACCTACGATGATTCGAAAAATGAAGGAATGACAATTGAGTGAAAAGTGTTTGGAAGAAGAAAAAACAATAAAAAAAAACAGTGTGTTCACCTTTCTAAAGTGTAGTTTCTCGTAAGCTTACGGACTTACGATACTAAAATTCGGGGTTCGTTTCCCCGCAGTGGACACAGCAGATAGCCAAATGTGGCCTTGCTCTAAGATAACTAACCAACCAACCAACTAACCTCATATCTGATCAAACGGTTTCACGAATGAGAAAAATTAATCATAAGCGTAAACACATTGTGATCGCTTAAACAGTTCGTTTTATTGATAAAACCACTTTTTATTGTAAAATGTGTTTATCTTTACTATTTAAATACTAACGTTCAAGCCTTGATAATAACTATGTTAATAATTATTAATCCGACTGTCCTGACATCTAACCCTTATAAAGCGAAACAATAACAAATTGCTGATTATTAAACTATTAAGAAGATAACTTCAAAAAGAGAAACGAAAAAATTTTGTGAATGTTTTTAGTTGTTATTATCCTTACAAGTTGCAGTGTGATAGTATTGTTACGACAGCGGAAGTCACGCAACGCTGGAAGCATGCGCGCTGGAGTTTCTAGAAGGATCATGGCTGTTCCTGGCAACTCTAGTCTTTTCTAGACGCCCTCTATTTTAGTATATAAGCCCGGCAAATAAAGCGGAAATATAATGGCAGATAGACAGATATCGAGACAGATAATTGAGTCAAGTGAGTGGTAGTAAAGTGCGTGAATCGTTGTGAATTATAGCGTGTGTTTAAGTTAAAGTAACTGTGGAAATTAAGTGTATTGCAAAGTTGAATTGAGAAAGAATAAACTAGTTTTATTTAAGAAAGGACTTGTATCGCTGAAGTTTCTCGGAAAGAATTTCCACGGAAAATTAACAAACGACCAGAGACGTAACAATATGTTTCGCAAAGATCATTAACATTCACGAACAATCTAGGTATTTTAGGACTACTTAAATAAATTCTGTAAATCTAGCGTCATAATTTGTTTAACAGCTCTCTCTAGCAAACAAGTAAATCAAAAATTGAAAATATAGCTGAAAAATGGAAAAAAATCACGATTTACCAATATGATTTACATGTAAGGGTAACCTCTCAAATAAGTGAACGGATGATGGGTAGTAATTTTAAACACTACTCTACACGCCAAATTATCAAGTTATTCTAGGTCTTCTTTTTTCCATTCTCTTTCACTGATTTTCCATAGATATTGTGAATTTTCAACTAAACAACATGTTTATGATATAAAATAAAAATACACATATTTACCATAAATTATGAATAAATAGAAAACACATAGTGTTCATTTATCATGAAAGTGAAATAAAAATAAGTTTAGCCATATGACAGACTTTTTAGTTTATTTTAATATGATGGCGCTATAGTTGGTCGGTGTTTGGGATTACAATGCGGTTAACTGTGAATTTTAATGTAATAGATAGATTGAGGCCACTGTGTGGGAATTGTTGATGAAGATCTGTGGGTCATGATAACTGCCTAAGATACAACTTGAACTTATAAATCATTTCTAACAACAGTAGAAAAGATATGGCTGTATATAAAACTAAGAAACAAGAAGATCCGTGGGTTCGAGTATTTGATGTCACAGAACCGACTGGTCATGAGAAAGGTTACACCATATATAAAGTTATATCAAAAGTAAGTAAACAATGTTTTATTGCTGAAGTGACTTTTATTGACATTTCTCATTAATGCAAATTTCTAAGTATTTATCCAAGGTTAAAAACTACCAGTTCTTCATAATGCATTTTTAATGGAAGTTGGTGTAGATATTTTTCAATATTTTTATCTTTCTAAAGCTTATATTTTACATGTCAATTACATCAATGTGATGTAATAGAAATAAGTCTTATTTTAATTGTGACAGGATCCTTTGATTATACTCCATTTTGTTGTTCATATGATATTTAGTAATTTACTCTTGGTGATTGAATTTAAGTGAAGTTGATGTGCTCTCTTCTTGCTTCTAACGAAATAAAGTGAAATGGACAGGAACGCAGCAAAACATTTTTAATTAGTCTCTTACCGATACTGATGTGAACATAAATTCAAATGACAAGTGTCTATATGTTGCGCAGTTATAATGTGAATATTGGTAAAACACTAAGATTTTTGTATGTTTTACTTTAACCCTAGAATGCTAGCACCTGGTGTTAATGATTGAAAATTTAACACAGACATGGCTGAAAAAGGTATTATTTATTTGAGGCATTGAGGGAAATGTTTTGTTGTTTTAAGCATTTTAGAGTGAAGTATCTATTACATAGGTAAGCATCAAGCACTGGAGAATGGAGTTTATTGATAATTCTTGATTGTTTAATGACTATTAGCTTGTGACCATGGCTTTAATTATGTTTTGTAAAACCAAAACACCTAATGTAATAGAAGCTTAGTTTTTTTTCCTTTCTTTTTTTCTAGGTTTTTCCAAAGAATTCTTTTGAAAGTGTCTCTCAGGTAAGGCCATGTTTCATGTTAACATGAAAGTTTCTCGGGAATAATGCAATACAAAACTTACAGAAATATGCCTGAGTGGGGCCTTTGTCATAAGTTACTTTAGCTCTTGATGCTGGAATTATTTATCAGTATTTTTAATTTTTAACAGTTTACACAAAATAACATCATGGTAGGTATTGGTAAACAAGCTAGGAAACTAATTGTAAGTCATGGAATATTTGCTCTGCTTACAACAAACGAGTACTGAATCTTGGGTATTAAGTAACAAAAATCACTAGTTTCCAAATCATATCAGAAAAGATTTATTTTCTCAAAAGGGTTTGGCTTATATAGAGTATTTCTGTGCTATATCTTATTGTGTGCATAAAAAATTAGTAATTTCAGATATTTGATAGCATCAAAGTATAAACATCTGAAATAGTTCATTATTTAATACATTAAAAATCCCTTTTTTGTTTTAGAAAACTAACAAAATTATGGGTGAAGTAAAACCTCCTTGTTACATTTCATTCTGATGTGTCTTTAAGAATTCATAAACATTCTCAGATACTACTTACTATTTAATTCAGTTTAAAATTACATTACAGTGGTAAGGAAGTTTTTTAAAATAAAAATGCATTGTCTTGTCTAATAAAAACTCACAATATTAGAGCTATAGAAAAGACAAAAGACAGACTCGATCTTTACATATGCTGAACTGTGTGATTGAATATGCAAATATCTAAACAGTAAGAGTACTGCTAAGACTTTTGTGTTCCATTTTAATCAACCAGTATCATGTTCAACGTTAAACAGATATACACAACTTTTCATCTAACCTGAATTAAACGTAGGTAAAATTGACCTTCAGCATCGACACACTATTATTTACATCAAACTACAAGTAATCAGTAACACTAACATATAATTACGTCTCTATCTTGTGATTTCTAACCATTTTGGGTTAGCATTCAAAGTTTTTTATATAAATATTGATTAATACATATTTATATGAATTGAAAGATGGATTTTTGTTCAATATCCTTAAAGAAAAATGTAATTGTTCTTTCTTGCAAGTATTGTCAAATAGGAAAATATCTGGAAATGAAACAGTTTTTGTCCTTTCTTTTTAGATAATTGTGTGGAAACGATATAATGATTTCAAAGTACTGCATAAAGCTCTTTTAACCATTCACCGCAACCTTCATTTAAAGGGAAAATTTCCTCCATTTGCCAAGTCCACATTTTTTGGTGAGCTTCTTTACATTTTTCCTTAATGTGATTGATGTCTCCTTAAAAAGAAATACTGTACATGCTTAACAATTTAAGTATTTCCTGTGGAAATGAATTAAGATGAAGCTGTCTTAGAAAAAGTAATTTATTACTTCACTGTGATAGTTCTGAGAGTAAATGTGTATTATGTATAAATTACTAAGATAATTTGATTTATCAATCAACATTTTTCATGTATCTGTATTTCCGAGTATAAAATTAAACTTGTACAGTTATGTTTTGTTAAAATTGCATGTAATATAAGAAACAATGTATAGTAAAATTTGTTTTCTTTGTCCAAGACTGAATTTTTTCAGATGTATTCCATCAATTGTAGTATGTGTGTTAACCTACATACATACATACTTTTAGAAAGTGACTGAGCTTCAGGTATTCTGTAATGTATGTGTACTTAAGGTTATTTCTATAACCTGAAAGACTGTGTATTAAGTATTAAAATACTTCAGGTACGTATCTAACAATATGATATATAACATTGTTTTGTAGTTATTATTTAGAAGATCTAATGTCGTGAAACCTTGAGTGTTAGTGACAACAGTGACAATCATGAACTAAAGAAAATAATACAAAGACAATTGAAACCAATTTAATTATTGTTTGTTTCAAAGCAGTAGTTATAAGTCAAACTGTTCTAGATGAAACAACCGTATAGTCACTTTTGCTTCATCATGTATTCTGAGATTTTAGTGGGAGTTTCTCACTACCTGTGTAAACTTTAGAACCACCATCAAACATCCATACTTAAAATTATTTTGGAAAACATGTTATTTGTTAGGTTGTACACATCGCCATTATATTAAGATTGAAATTAGTTATGAAGTTGGACACTAAAGAAGCAGCTGAGTTAAAAGCATAATGAAGATACCTTTCTAATAATATATGTTAAATTATAGTTACATGTAGAGCTGGACATATAACTTGATTAATCAATTAATTGTGAGTATCGATTAATGTTGCAGTAAGTAATTGATTAAATAGCTTAATTTAAAGCTAATAATTAATTTGTTAAAATTAGTGTTTCTGATTAGTACTTTTGATTATTCCAACTATCATAATAGTAATCATAATATTGGTTTTATGATTTCTCATTGATAAATAAAGATTGTTCAGCTTAATTTATTAGTCGTGATTCATGAAAATAATCAATTAATTGAAATTAGGGTTTCCAGTTATTACTGTTTCTGAACATTCCAATAAGGTATTGTTACAAGTTCTGTTACCTAGTGGCTGGTTGTTACACAACTATTTACAGTGATGTCTGTTATTCATGTTTACCTTGTATGCCTAGATAATAGTATAGCTTTGACTTAATATATTGCTTACTTATTACAAGCTACAAATGTAACCATTGTTACTTATTTTCTTAATTTGAAAAGGAAATATTGAAATAAATTATCAATCATCTGAGCCACATGATGTGGTAGCACTGTGGTTTCTCATTTATAGATTTTTTATTTTCCCTCATAAGGGCTTCATATTATTCAATCAATTAGAAATACATGCTATAGATATTGGCAAGCCAAAATATATAATTTCAACATCTTATTGCATTACAGAGATATCCCTTTGGTTGGCAAACTTAGACTGCTTCATTTAGTTGTATGGACCATATGCCAACCGTAGTAGGGTATGAGAATCGTTTTAAAATTTATCCCACTAGTACTAGTTTTGTACACTTATAGCAATTCTATGAATAACCAATGATCCCTACTTTCCATTAAAATGTACAATAATTAAAACCACAAACACAAATTTATAAAATGTAATTCTTTCTTTGGCCTACAGATAAGTGTGTGAAACTGCCAAAATAGGGATTAAATTTGTGATTGTGATTTTAATTCTTGTTTCATTATTTTTTGTAGCAGGATCCCTACTTCATTTTAAAATTCATAGTTTTTTATTACTCTTGTTTGTTTACTTTTTATGTTATATCTGTATAAAGTATATACTTTACCTTTAGAAACTGTTGTTTGTCTATCCATTGATATGTAGATCCATCTGTTGAGTTGAATTAGGTAAAAAAGATATTTAATTATGTGCGTGATATGTTTCCCACTTATAAAATATCTGTATATATTTATTGGAATATCAAAAGCAGATATCCACAGATTAGTCAACTAGCCCCGCTGACGTGATCAGGTAGGTATTAGATGAAAAAGTTGCTGTTGTAGACATTTTTGAATTGTTATACCGGAAATGTTAGTGACCTTTTAAGTGTATTATTAGTATATATGCACATGATATATCATAACCAATACTTTGAATGGTTCGTTATTTGCTTAGGAACTCAATAGGGTGGTTTTTCAGCTTGTGAATTATTTGAAAACCTTTGTCGATCCCTGCTATTAAGTACTACTGTACTTAATAATAATAACAGAAACAAATCAGACAGTCTTGTGGATCTGAATTACACATTCATGTTCCATGTTTTTGACATCTTATGAGGTTTTGACAATCCTCAACAGGAGTCATCCAATACTGTAATAGTAGCTGGAGGTCAGTAATATTATTGTTATTATTCACAATGTTGTTGGTTCCATTCTGATCTCCTTTTTCTTGTACTTCAGCTGAGCTTGCCTCATCTTTCAGCAATTTCACCTCTGTTGTTTCCATCCTTGTGTTTGCCCCCAGTTGCTTCTTCCTGATGAAGATCAGGTAATCACTTCTTGGATTACATTAGTATGTGTTTTTTGCTTTTTCTTTCTCAAGTAGTTTTTGCTGAATCTTGGGCAACCTTTTTACATGAGTCTCCATTACTTGAGTATCTTTTTTAAGTTTGGGAATGTCCTCTTTCCCGTGATACAGTTAACAATTATGTCTTTGTTTTTGAGATTTGCTTTGTTGGGAGCCTTAATTTCAGGCGTTTGCCTCCCTCACTCCTATCCCAGGGACATTCAAGATGAGGTTTCTGGAGGTGTTCTTTACACTTTAGGAACTTTAACTGAAGCTGTTTGTCAACATATTTCTCTGATTACTTTGACTTCCATAATTTCTCAGTCCAGGGTGTCCCATTAAGTTTTTCATCCATGGACCTGGTCCAGTGGGAGCTTGGCTTTCCCTTTTCGTGCACCTGTAGATGCCCTTTGTAGATTTTCTTTGGCTCACACAGGTGCTTTATCATGGATTTTCTTTGTCTTTTAGCACTCATCCTCCTCTTTCTCCTCCTCTGGTTGTCTTTCCACCACCACTCGGGTATTATGCATCTTTACTACCTAGAGTTGGTTATTATAAATGCCATGGAACAGGTCTTCTACACCGTGTGTGGTTTTTACTTCCATCTTTTTGTCATTCCCAAGAAGATGGAAAGTTGGTCGCAGCTTATTCAACCAATTTTTGGTCATCCCTCAGCTCGGGAAGCTCGGTTATCTCAATCTGAGGTGGAAGTTTTCTTCTGGGCTGTGCATGATGAAAGTCATTGTTTTGAATGCTTTTCTGCACATCCTGATTTGTCACTTTATCCATTGCTTTCTCTGATTTGTCCATGACAATAAGATTTTTCAGTTCCAGGCTCTTTCCTTCAGTCTTTTGTTTGGATCTCCATTGCCCCTACTCGTATTTGGGTTGGCTGGTTAAGTTTTCCAGGTTTGCCTTGACTTTTAATAAGTACCTGATTCACGTGAGAGTCTTTTTAAACATATTTGCAGGGTGGATTCAACCATGGATCTCATGCTTCCTTCACCATTATTGGTGATAGTAAAACATGTTTTCATTATTTAATTGTCATCTTAGTTGATTTACAGAAGGTCAGTGTGGGATTGCTGCAGATTCTAAAAAGAAACAAAATATTAACCATGGGGTGGTATTTAGTCAATGTTAGCAATTCATTCACCAAACAAAGAATGTACAGATTATCCTTAAAAAAAACTTGTAGCAAGATGTATTTTAGTGTGTAAATATTGTTTTCCCAAAGTGTGCAACTGTCAATTTCCAGAAGAGGTCTATCATATGAAGTGAAGGGTAATTTGAAAATTACTTAAAAAACAAAATGATGAAAATAGGATGCCTAATAATATGTTTGAACATGGCAGAACAATGTCCCATTTTTTATTTTGTTTTGTATAGGAGGTGGGGGATGGAACTAATTAACTAATGAGCATGGTGATTAACTGATAAGCAAAAACCACTAATTGCCCAGCTCTATACAAAGGTTATGTAATGCTGTTTTTAAGGTGAAAATATTGTTTCTTATTGCATGAATTTATCTCACATAAGTTTAGAAAAAGATGTATTGGAATACATTGTTTCATAGTACCTATTTACTGTTATTTGAGAAGTTGTCACAATTAACTTATTTATTGTCTCTAATAGGACGCTTTGAAGGAGAAATCATTGAAGAACGAAGGAAGAGTGCATTGGCACTTTTAGAGTTTGCTGCTCAGTATCCTCCATTATTCACAAGCCAAATTTTTGTTAAGTTTTTTGAGGTAAGTGTTTTGGATAACTTATTCTATAATGTGCAAATATATACAAAAATGATATATAATGAATCCTCATTAGTCTGGACATAGCATCCAGATGGTTTTTCATAAAGACAGATCTTCAGAATAGGAAATTTTACCAATAATCTTTACATTTGAACATGAGAACAGTGAAATAGGGGTTGATCAGAACAAGTAAAGATGTGATAATTACTGACAACAAAACACCTTCACTAATTAGTAGATTACAACAATTTCTCTAGCATTTGGTGCTTGTTTACAACAGTATTTGAAGAATGACTTTCACTTGCATTGATCACCTGTTTACAATAAGAAATATATAGTTAACTGCATAGGAGCCAAAGATATCAAAATTAAAGAATAGGTTAAACAATCGCCAATTTTTTTCTTTTTATTTGTATCTGAAGAGGATGATGTTTCGATCAGATCGTACAGCTTACAACATAAGGTGCAATTCTGCGCACGCGCCTTTTGTTGTAAGCTGTATGATCTGACGAAGAGTGCTAGCTCGAAACATCATCCTCTTCAGATACAAAAATCAAACAAAACTAGGCGATTGTTTAACCTATTCTTTAATTTTGACATCTGTTTTCAATAGTTTTTCTAAGAACAACTTTTGTGCTAGAGATGCACATATAAACTATGATAAATATTTAGAGGTCATCAGAGTGATTTATGTACATGCCTTGACCAAAACTCACACCCCTACAGATATCAACAGGAACTGCACTAACCTATGATGTAATGATCATTAGACTATAGCCTTCAACCAATAGCAGAGCAAGTATTTGAACAAAGGCTCATGTCTTTTCTTGGTGATGAATTAATTAGGATTAGTGGAATGCATTTATTATTTTAAACTTCTGTTCCCATTCATAGTGTAGTCTTTCTTTTTTTAATTCTCTTGATTATGAGAAAATTTTAAACATCTTATTTAGAACTATCATTATATTTACCTTCAATTTGATTTTAACTTTGTAACTATATGTTCAGGCCTGGTTATTTTTATCACACTTATAACCATGAAATATAACTCTGAATGTACTTAGTGTATCTTCATTAAATTTGGCAAGCTTTTAGTGAACGTTATAACTTGTTGTGCACAAAAATCAGATTTTTAAATTAAGTATATTTACTAAAGTTTGTCTGTGAAGTTATGAAGCCTTTACTGAATCAGTCTGAGAGAAAAATGATTTTCATGCTAACAGTAAAGTACTTTTCATCTTAAAGTTTTCATAATATATTTGCATAATATCCGGAATCTTCTAACTGAATATGTTAGAACATATTTAGAACCTTAACACTAATTGTAGCAAAAGTTGAAAAATATGAAATCAAAAATACTTTTCTTTTTTTGTTATTAGAATGACTGTAGATTTTAATATACAATTACAATTATTTATCTTAAGAAGTTCAGGCCTCTTTAACTTTTTACAACTGCTTTCATTTAATTTTACGGTTTATTGATCTTTGAATCATGTGTAACTACCATGACAAACAATAAATCATCAGATCAATAATGGAGTAAACAAACATATCAGATAACATTATGTGTGTCTAACTGCTGTACGTTCGTTCCTCATATGTAACTTAGAGTGATGATGAAAGAATTTATTTTTTCATTTAACTTTTTTTTTAATCTAACCTAATAAATTTTTAATCTGTACATTTTAGTTACTTTTCTTTAAAATATTTTTAACAATAAAAAAAATATCTAAAAAGACAAGAAATTTATAAGTTACCTTAGCTTTAGGTTGATTTGCATTAGAGTGCCTGCTTTCTTACATTTTGTTTTCTCTGTGTTGGTTGTCCAAAAAATAATTCATGCACCTTTGAAATATGAATTTTATAAAACCAAAAACAAACACTCACTAGATCAGATTGTATGAAAACTAGTTTATATGGCTTTCTAAGTAATCTTTAACTTAAAAGATTTTTGTTACCTCTTGGAGCAATGTCTTTGGTCCAAACACATTAAGCTCTGACACCAAATTATTGACTTTCACAGCTCAAACAAAATAGATGATCATGTAATTTACATAGTGTACAATTTGCTCTTTCTATGGGTTATACAAATGCTAACAAAAGTACCCATCTACAATGGCAGGAAAAGTCAATATATCAGTTTGAATTATTTCATGGACTTTAAAAGGGTTAATTGTGTTACGCTTTTGGTTTCACTCACAGCCCAAGTTCTGAGCTACTTATACTACCACCGTGAAAAGTAATTGTTGAACATTTCAGTCATGCTAAGAGCCACTCAACAATAACATACAGTAAATCTACATTTTTATTCTTTAAGTTACGTCAAATTTTGAAATGTGAATGATAGTGTGATTAATTCCTAACAATTTAGTGTAGAATATCCTGCTCATTATTTATGCCTGTTCTCTTCTCAGTGATTGTTGTTGAAATGGGGTCTTCCATAAGACTACTTTAGCAGTATATGTTTTACCTTTAGGCTGTACTTCAGGAGAAAAAATTACAGCACCAGGTGTGTGTGCCTGTCCTCACACCTGACAAATACCTGCCATCCCTTTATTGTAAACTCATTGTACATTCTAGCAGTGTGGGACCGCATGCGGGTGTGATTATTCCTGTTTGGTTTCAACATCTTTGGTGTTCCCCACTATGCAAATTTCCTCTTTCTTTTTTTCTGCCTCCCAGTGGCACAGCGGTATGTCTGTGGACTTACAATGCTAGAAACCGGGTTTTGATACCCCTGGTGGGCAGAGCACAGATAGCCCATTGTGTAGCTTTGTGCTTAATTCCAAACAAACAAATGCTAGTGAAGTAATGTTTTCCAAGCTGCTAGTAGGTTGATCTGGAGAGTTCCTTTTTGTTCAGTGGTGTGAGATTAAGTGAATACACCTCTTGCTGATAAGTAAGGTTGGGGTGTTTACCTGGAAGAGGTGTACAGACCTTACACTCAGTACCAGATCATTCCCAGAGGTTTTACCAGCCAGATGGGTCTCGCATTCTCCTCGGTATGCAGGTTTGGGATAATCTCCCGTGCATCTGCTTATTGTGGTAAGTATCATACAGATGTGTTTCTCCACAACTGTACTACTGCCCGAGATATATCAAAAGTGTTCCTTTTGTTTTCTGGGATTATTGAAATGTCAGAAGAGTTGATTTTATTTTGTAGGAGTTTAAAGTATTCTGTAGGATTATTAAAATGTTCGAAGTATTGATTCTGTTTTGTAGGGTGGTGAAAAAGTCAGGATTCAGTCAGAGCTTAACTCAACACTAGATCCTCCTCTCCTGCCAGCCAAGGTGACATCTTCCACACCATCAAAAACTTCCTGTCCTGATATTAGGTAGGTTCAAGAGATGCAGTTTTGTATGTTTAACTATTTCAAGGTTTAATGGTATAATATCACAGACGGTTTATTGAAATTAAGAAGACATTCTACTCTTTCTTATTGACTATTTTACAAGTATTTGCTGAAGTCTTTCTAATTATCAGAAGAAGGTAAAATATTATGATAAACTTACTGAAGTTATGAAGTTTCATACAATACTTATGGTATTAAGATGATCATCAGACTCTGAAAAGCTTTTGAAACATCAAACTTTCTATAAGTTTCTTCCAATGGTTTCTTATCCAGTCACCATCAGGCTTATGTAATCTAAAAAGTGTTATTGCAGAACTTGTGGCACCAATATTCTCACTTCTGATAATTCAGATGATGACTTGGCCAATATTACATCAAACAGTGACCTGTTAGGTAAATGTAATCAGCACCCCCTCTGGTGCACCACTCAACAGTAAATTTGAGGCCTTCATAATGCTAAAGTTCAGTGTTTCATTCCTGGGGTGGACACAGTGCAGATAACCAATTGTGTAGTTTTGTGCTTCAAAATAAACCACTTACAAAAGAGTTTACTGACTGATAGATGTTCACATTCTTCTGTACAACAAGGTGTGATATATAACCTTGATCTTCTGACTGATGATGTTCACATTCTTCTCTACAACAAGGTGTGATATATAACCTTGATCTTCTGACTGATGATGTTCACATTCTTCTCTACAACAAGGTGTGATATATGACTTTGATATTCTGCCTGATAGATGTTCACATTCTTCTGTATAACAAGAAGTTATATATAACCTTGATCTTCTGACTGATAGATGTTCACATTCTTCTGTATAACAAGGTGTGATATATAACCTTGATCTTCTGACTGATAGATGTTCACATTCTTCTGTACAACAAGGTGTGATATATAACCTTGATCTTCTGACTGATAGATGTTCACATTCTTCTGTACAACAAGGTTTAATATATAACCTTGATCTTCTGACTGATAGATGTTCACATTCTTCCGTATAACAAGATGTTATATATAACCTTGATTTTCTGACTGATACATGTTCACATTCTTCTGTACAACAAGGTGTGATATATAACCTTGATCTTCTGACTGATAGATGTTCACATTCTTCTGTACAACAAGGTGTGATATATAACCTTGATCTTCTGACTGATACATGTTCACATTCTTCTGTACAACAAGGTGTGATATATAACCTTGATCTTCAATATATATGAGCAACAGTTTTATAAATCTCTTTTTGAATTGAGAATTCATGAGGCACTGTTCCTAAGCCTACTTTTCCTCTCATTATAAGATGTTTTGCTACAAAACATGGTGAAATTTCAGTTTACAATATAACTTGCTTTCTTTTTAGGGCTGTGGTTAATCTCTTTAGACTGACATGAATTATTTTCTATTTTATGTAATGGGCTTTGTACATTACTGATATCCGTACCATACAATACTGAACTTTGAAAAATTCCATCAGAACGCATCTGTCTTCTCCATCATACATCATCCCATAATTCTTAAAATAGAGAAAATATATTTAACTTCAGGCAAAAAAAAATAGATTTTTCTCTGCTCCTACAAAAAAATGCAACTGTTTCTGAGTAATTTGACGATGTTGATTCTAAAAAAAGTGTTGAAAAATTACTGACCACTTCTAGTTTTTGAGTTATGATAAATTTATTCAAAATATTCCTATATATTGTGAAACTAACAACTTTTTCTTTAACTTTATTTATTTATTCATTGAAAATTGCATTTAAGAAAGTTAAAAAAAAAAGACATAATAGCAAAACCAGTTTTAAAACGCAATGAGTATATTAAGATTATATACTGAAAATATATTCAGGCTATGTTCAAACTTTCATCATGATATTATTTTTCATCTTTTGTTACAAAATATCTGCTTGACATGTTGTACCCTTTATGTATGTTCTCAGTTTTATACTGTAAAAACCAACAGTAATCTCCAATCATCGCAGGATTCCATCGTTCTTGATATCAATGTTCTATTGTAGAAATATTTTAGTGCAAGTTCTCACCATGTTCATCATTCACTGTACCTAGATCACTTGGAAAGAAGTCTAAATGGGAGTATAAGAAGTGTACCTTCAGTGACATCTTAGACCCCATTGTTATGTAGTTCATATAATCAATCATCACAGCATAGTTTTCATAGTTTGAATGATTTCCGGGCAGCAAGTTCTTTCTGATTAAGTACTGTTTCAAAATCATCATTCATCAGCACTTCCTGAATCTGTGGCCCAACAAAGATACCTCCTTTCAGTTTTGTTTAACTGATTTTTAGAAAATTGTCGGACAGATATCTGAAACCATTACCATCTTTGTTCATTCCTTTTACAAAATTCTTCATGAGTCCCAGTTTAATATGAAGTGTGGGCAAAAATGTGTTGAGGATTCACTAAAGGTTGATACTCGATATTCTGTTTCCCTGGTATGTAATTCTCTCTCACTGGCCATTCCTTCTTTTTGAAATGATTTTTATCATCCCAGCTGTCCCAGAGATACAAAAAACAACAATATTTGGTATACCCACTCTGCAGGCCTAGCAGGAGTGCTATAACTTTTAGATCATCACCATAGGTGATGATATTTGATGGCCTCAACTATACCCTGCATACGCTGATAAGTTTCTCTCATGTTCACAGCAAGAGAAACGGGAATTGATGGCTTAGTGTTCCTGCTATGCAAAAATACAACTTTAAACCTAACTTTAGATGAGTCAATAAAAAGTCTCCATCTTGAGGATGACGTTCAGTACTTAATTCTTCCATTGGTGCATCGACATTTGTACAGAAACACAAATTATCTTGCATGCTGTAGTGAGAAGCAAGTTTTTGTTGGTGACTTCAGTGAGTTGAAACTCTTGTTCCAGGAGCTAATAAATTCCATTGCTGTAAACGAGAGCCAAGAAGTTCCCCATGCTGCTTTGATAGAAACAAGTCATGAATCAGATCATTTAGATCTTCTTGTGTGATCAGATGAGGTAGTTTATATTGAGATGATACTGGAGTAGAATTACAAGATGAATAGGATGAAGATGATCCATTGTCTTCTTCACTGGATAACTCTTCTGTTTCCTAACTTGTTGGTTCTGGTTTCATTACAGATGCAATATCTGGATATTTAATGTGTAGTTTAGTTTTGCCTGAATGTCCAGAAATATTAGTCATGCAAAAATAACTGTCAGTTAGATGACCTTTAGGATCACACCATATCATGGGAACTGTAAATGGCATACTTGTTCTCTTCTTATTCAGCCACTATGTCAAGCCAGATGTGTAAACTCAACAACACACATGTGGAGCACAATGTTTTTCTTGGTCACCAATTCTACACTCAAAATATTGGTAGTAAGCTAACTTTACCTTGTGTGTGATGTTTTTATTTCGTGAAACTGTAATACATGTTTCACAAATGTAGCAGAGACTGTTTGGGTGATTTTTGCACTCTCTGACTTTACTTTAACTGTAGGCAACCAGCATTTCAAATGGTTTTCTAAAAAATATAAAAGAATTTATATTTACAGAACTAGAGGTTAAAAAATTTTAAAAAATAGTTTTTTTAGAATTTGATTATATCGCAAGTATGATAAGAGGAAGAATATCGGACTTTGTTTTGACTGTGTGCAGAGCGAGGCGAAGTGACCAACTAAGTGAATGAGAGGTATCTGGCTTTGCCCCTTTTATGTTCAGTCGAAGTACTTCTTGAATGTTCTAGCAAACTGAGCATGTGAGGGTTTCGCAATTCCCAGGTGAGCGTGGTAATGAAGCAAAAGTGGTGCAATTCACTACAATTATATTGTAGTACAAATAACACATATGAACAATATATTTGGAATTTTACACCAAAACAATACAGCTAATGTTTGAAGTTATCAAAACTGTATGCCTTTTACCCATTAAACCATCCAAGTAAACTTAATCTCACATTATAAATCTATTGTACTAAGTTGATTGCATGGTCTTTCACATAGTGCTCAGAAAATATTGAGATGTTACAATAACTCAAAATCTAGAGGTGAAGGACAAATTTTGACTATATTTTTGAAATCAACACCATCCAGTTACCCCAACTCACTTGAGTTTTCTCCAGTAACAAATTTTTGTTGACCAATGTTATTAAAAAAATGACTTAACAATGGATGTTAAGAGGTGTGAGTACATATACAATTTTGTTATATTTTTATAAAAACATTGGTTAAACAAATTGTTAGTTGATTACATACAGTACCCTTTCTTCTTTAAGTATAACTTACATATAAAAAAAATAATGCAGATATGAATAATGCCTTTTGATTAATATAAAAACTTTCTAATATTTAGAATAAGAACACATATGAATGTTTATAGTAATCTTGTATGTGTTGCAGCTCTGAACCATCAGAAATTGACACTCTTCTTGGAGGAATCTGGCAACATAGAAAGGCTATTGATGATATTAGTCTAAGTTCACATCCTACTGAAGATGAACTGGGTGAAGAAGAAGATGATGATGACAGAACTACTTTTACCGATGGAAGTTCAACACTAAGCACTCCTCTTCCAAGTTCTGAACTTGCCTTTTTTGATCCTTTACCTGAAGTTCATATCACTGAAGAACACACAGAAGTAAGCAATACCTGGCTTCTGTCAGCCATCGAAGCTTGTTCTCGTCTGGATCATTCTATTTCAGAAGATCACGGTTCTCCCGACCCCAACTCTTTTTCATTTCCTAGACCATTTGATGATGGTGAAGAGGTAGAAAGCTCCTCAGTAACAGACATAGACGTCATTCCAATAAAAAGTCAGAAGGAAGACAATAATATTTCAAGCTCTGACTTCCCAACTTCCCATGCAGTCCCATCGTGGAAAGAGTTTGATCCTCTAACTACTAATGTTACTTCATCAGAGTTTGAAGCTGATTCCCAGCTTAAAGTTACCAGTCCTGTAGAACCACCCACCTTGACTCCTCTTTCACCTATTGCCTCTAATCTGGACTTTATCGACAGAAACAACTCCAAGTACTTAACTAATGCAGCAGAAGAAATAAGTTGTGCCCAGCAGTGTGAAGCTGTAGGAGATTTTACACATGCCTTTGCTTTCTACAAAACAGCAATAGCTACACTACTGGAAGGAGTTCAAGGTTAGTTGTTTAGTAATGGGTCATTGACAAAACATTTTTACAGACAAGCTAAGTTTGAAAGAAAATTATGTTTAGTGTAAAGGTTGCTAGTCAAGTTTTTGTTATCTCACAAAACAAGTGCTGAACTTGTGTTATTAAATAATTTAAGTTTGTAATTATTAAGTGGATGATCCACATAAATGTTTCCTTAACCATTGGGACCGTGCATGGCTTAGCGATTAGTGTGCTCAGACTGAATCCACTGGTACATGATCCATATTTGGGGGCCATGAGTGTGGTATAAGAGTGATGTTAAAATCAAACTTTTTGGTCAAATAACAGTTGGTAGTGGTTGTTATTTATCAGCTGCCTTCTCTCTCTAGTCTATCAGCTCAAAATTAGGAATAACTGTGTGCAGATAGTCCTTTGTGTAGTTTTTGTGTGAAAATTTTGAAAGAAAAAAAACTAAGCCATTATAGGATTATCATCTGCCATAAATGAAGCTTTCAATCGCTTAGACTCAGTTTGTATCACTTAAAAACATTTGTAATAGGATTTCCAGGTAATATAAGTGTGTTATATCAATAATTTAAATGTTGAAAATGATATATTAAATGTACAACTAAAAGTCTAACTCTACACCTATTGATATAAGAAAAAGCTACAGGTGCACATGCTTTATAATGACTATTATGGTTTTTTTTTTTCAAGTCTGCAGGATTCAAAATTACATCACTTTTCTGTTAATGTCATGGTGTAATTTATTGTACTCAAGTTTTCATTAGAAACTTATAAAACTCCAAAAATAAATAAAACCTTGCTGGATGCTTTCTAATTATTTACAGGGAAATTATAATTTTTTCTAGTATAAATTAATATTCCCAAAGTACAAATGAATCAGTTTGGATGCTTATCGACTTCTTATTCTGACCTCTTTTGTACATGTGGTTTTGCATGTTTATCTGTAATAGGACCTTAGTACACTTTAGGTTTGAGTTTAAACCAACATTGAGGATGAATGACTGAAGAAATAAGAAAGCTGAGCTTCTACTTATTGAATTATACAGACTTGCATTAACAGCTATTCTCATGTTGCGAGGTAAAATAATATTGTAAAACTTATGATTATTTTGGATGAAAATTGTACTCTAAAATAATAATAATAATAATAATACAGTTGATTTTAGACAGTTATGTTCATCTAATTTAAAATAAACTAATGTTTCTGTTGTGATAATTTAAGGATAAACCAAGCACACAGTTAGTTACCTGTTCTCTGCAACAATGGAGGTTCTAGGACCTGATAAGTGGGAGGACAGTTATGGTGGTGGAATGAAAGAGACAGACAATTCTGTGTGAAGTTGAAGCAAAAGTAAACACATTATCAGTTTAAGGATAAACCAAGCACACAGTTAGTTACCTGTTCTCTGCAACAATGGAGGTTCTAGGACCTGATAAGTGGGAGGACAGTTATGGTGGTGGAATGAAAGAGACAGACAATTCTGTGTGAAGTTGAAGCAAAAGTAAACACATTATCAGTTTAAGAAAACAGATGAATGGACTGTTGTACAAGTGGAAAGCATTTTAATAAACAAAGTTGAAAAAGTCAAATAAAATGAGCTTAAAGATGACTTGCATGATCAGCAAAAGTAGTGGATAAAAATGTAAGATGAAATTTCGACAGGAACTCTGAAATGGATCTGTTTGAAAATAACAAACTGTATTCAAAATTCACCTTCTGTCTGTAGCTGACCAATCAAAAAAGCAGAGTACAAAAATGTTGAAATATCTCTGTGCACATGATAGTTGTAAAACAGTCTCCTTATACACAAGGTAAATTAGAATTCAATACAACTATCTCATAAAACATTAGATAACTTCTGTGATTGGACTCTGCTACAGAAAGTAACACCTTGGCCTGAATTTAGGACATGACACTGACCACTTTTAACATGCTCCAAGTGAGAACTTAGAAAATTTTTGTAGATGTGGAATACACACTATGAAAGAGTAGGGTTTTTACACTGTGATAAGTCTTGATGAATGGTACATAATTACACTGTGACAAGTCTTGATGAATGGTACATAATTACACTGTAACAAGTCTTGATGAATGGTACATAATTACACAGTGATGAGTCTTGATGAATGGTACATAATTACACAGTGATGAGTCTTGATGAATGGAACATAATTACACGGTGACAAGTCTTGATGAATGGTA